TTAGTAACTTTAGAGAACTTAATGAAGGTCAGCCAAGTAAATATAATAAATTTTGGACTACCAATAAAAGGTTTTTAGAAAGTACTGCACAAGAAGCTGTGGTTGTTATTAATGAAAGAAGATATAACCTGATCATTCATCTCGCACAAGCTATTTTAGTTTGTGATTTTCATAATATGATAACAGAAGAGATAGCAAAGATTAATCTACAAGCACCAATTCCATCAAATCAATAGCTTCGCTTGCAGTTTTGGCCAACTATTCCAACAAATAAAAATAGTTTACAATATACTAGCACTTTATCTGTTAAATTTATAATCCAGATCTGTTAGCTTCGGTGTGAGCATATTGATTTGCATTATGCATCTGCATTATTTAGATATCTAAAAGAATTGGCAATCATATTTTGAGATAAAGCCCATCTCGTTTTTATAGATAACAAACACTGTTATAAAATTGGTGAATCTGGTTACCCAGTTGCAGCTATAGATTGTGAAAAGAGAGTACTTGTCAATCACAATAAAACATTTGCTATTAGTAATCACAATTTCATGAAATGTGAAATTATTCCAAGTATTACAATGTTGTGCAACATATCTAGAACAATTGAAAAATCATTTTATACTGGTCAAGTTTATGTTGGGCTAAAAGAATGTATATTCGAGCTATCAAGTTCAATATAACATATCACAGAATTATATAACATTTTAGAAAGCCAAGGTAATAACAAACCTTACCTATTTATTTACACTGATAGTGGGCCAAACTATAAAGTAAATTTTCTTCATATACAATTTGTATTAATTGCAATTTTCTTAACTTTGGATCTTGACTTTTTGGTTGCTGTTCGAATGTCTCTGAGACACTCATGGAAAAATCTAGTTGAATATGTTATGTCTATTTTAAATCTTGGATTGCAGTGTGTTGAACTTATGAAAAATGAAATAGATAAAGAATTAGAAAAGTTGATGAAAAGTTGCAATACAATAGATGAAATTCGTAATAAAGCTAAAAAAACACCTCGACTTAAGAAAAAAATAATCAAAAGCTTGCAACTTACTAAAAATATCATACAAGATATTTTTGAACGATTGGAGCTTAAAGGAGAAAAATTTTCTATATTTAAATTAGCAACAGAGCAAGAGATTGAATATTTGTAGAAGTCAATACTTGAAGTGGATGATTCATTGGTACCAGAAGATACGTCCAAAAAACATATTGAAAATAAGATCAGTTTCGATTAATGATACAGTAGAATCATTCTAATGATTGCTATAACTAGTTATAATACAAGCTTTAGCTAGTTATGGTAATCATTAAGAAATTTTACCACATCACTAGTTTCAATTTATAAAAAAAATTTTAATATTGTTGTGAGCTCATAAGTATATATATATATATATCTAGCCCTAAATTCTTAAATTTATAAACTATTGTTGCTGGTCAAGAACTTATTTTTTTAAAATTAGAAAATGTCAAGCGGCTAAGACTAGCTGCATGATTTGCAGACTACCATATAGTGAACCTGATACATTTGTAAAGCTACAACCTTTTTCAGATTCTATCTCTAAAGCAAATGAAGATTACTATATATCATTTTATGAAATATATAGTAAAGATACTAATGAAAAATATTACCCATCTTCATTTCAAAAAGTTAATGCATCTATATCATCAACTTTTATAGTGATTAATAGTCTCGATACTAATAGCATAGGTTTTAGCCTCTAGACACAATATACTACAAATGTACGCATTTTGGTCAAGTGTATTGAATGCAACCTACCACAGGTACTTTATTTGCAACACCATTTAAATTCAGAAGAGAAAAATCTTTTTAAAAACTTCATTGAAATAATCGATTATATGTATGATACAATATTCTATAGAATTTCAAATTTAACAAAAATCAGCTCACCAATTCTAAATAATAACAAGACAATAGATATCGTTACAACTGCTGATAGTGACAATAACCAAGCAGTAAATATTGTTACAAATATTGAAAGTGACAATGATACTAATAGTATAGATGATGATGATGAATCGCTCGTAAAACAAAATGAATTACCTGTGGAACAACAAGATGAATCGCTTGTGAAACAAGATAAATCACTTGTGGAACAACAAGGTAAATTGCCCGTAGAATAACAAGATGTAAATAATGATAATTTGTCTTTAGAGACATTGTTTAAGCACATATTGTGAATGCCAAGCTTACCTGCTCAACACCTATAGAGATTCTATACTTTTCATCTCGTCTTTATTTAAATGTTTGTTTTTAGTATAGTAATGCAGAAATCCTTTCACCCACTCCTGCCAGTCAACAACTATATTGTTCTGAATGCCACATTTTAGTTAAAACTAAAAAAAAAGAGTATTAAATTTCAGGAAGAAACAAAAAAAAAGAAGATAGCAAGAAAGATGTTAGTGTGAATAAGAATGTCTTTTTGGAAATATGTAATAAATGATGAATAACAGAATCCTATCACTATGTAGTATTCTGAAGTTTAGTTTAGTTCAATTTAGGTTTAGGTTTAAGTTCAATTGAACCTGAACTAAACTTTAAATGTTGCAGATCTTTGAACCTGCACCTGAACTGAACTTTAAAGTTATGA